GGTTCTTTGAGCTATATGTGCGCTAGCGGTCAATTAAAGCTGTCAAGATAACAATAAAACAAATCATTAATTTGTAGTATTAAAATGAATGTCGTTACTGCTTTAAAGTTCTATATAACAAAAATGACAGAGGACAGTGGTCCTGGTATGAAAGTTCTATTAATGGATAAACAGACGGTAAAAATATAGAAATTTATAAATTTATACACACATATATACATATAAGTAAATATTTATATATAAGTAATAAGTTTTTTGTTTCTAGACAAGTATAGTGAGCTTACTTTACAGTCAGTCTGAGATACTGATGAAAGAAGTGTATTTATTTGAAAAAATAGATACTGCTGTACATAATGACACATTGAAACATCTAACGTGTATAGTATTCGTAAGACCAACCAAAGAAAATGTTGAGTTATTATGTAAAGAACTTCGATATCCAAAGTATGGAGTGTATTATATTTGTAAGTAATAATACAAAAAGATAAAGAAATTATAAAATTTATAATTTTAATTATTGTATATGTTTGTATGTAAAACAATTTTAGAAAAGTATGTATACAAGTGGCTTGTTTATTTATCTGTATTTTGTATTGATTTTATGATCAAGAAGTTTTTCAAGAATTTGATTAATAAATAATGCTTTTTTTAGATTTCAGTAATATTATTGCAAAAGCAGATATAAAACTCTTAGCAGAAAGTGATGAGCGAGAAGTAGTTAGAGAGGTACATGAGTATTATGGAGATTATCTAGCAATTAATCCACACTTGTTTTCACTTGGAATAAACTCCTGCTCTGAAGGTAACTTTATTTTGTGCTAATGTGTTGGTTTATACTATATGTTATATTAAAGTGAGATAATACATTGTATGATTTATGATATTATTGAAGGACTTACATGGGATCCAATGCATTTACATAGAACAGTTCAAGGAATAACTTCTGTTTTGTTATCACTAAAAAAGTGTCCCTATATAAGATATCAAAATAGTTCTGATATGGCAAAGAGATTAGCAGAAAGAATAAGAGAAGTGCTCAGTAAAGAATCTAATTCCTTTGAATTCAGACAAGAATCTAATCCTATTCTTCTAATAGTTGATAGAAGAGATGATCCTGTAACACCTTTGCTAAATCAGTGGACATATCAAGCAATGGTACATGAGCTGTTGACAATCAATAACAATCGTGTCAATTTATCTCATGTGAAAGGCATTTCAAAAGAACTGAAAGAGGTTGTTCTTAGTGCAGAACATGATGAGTTTTATGCAAACGTAAGAAACTTATTTTGAAGAATGCATGTATAATTGATAATATGAATATCCATGCTATATTGGCCTTCTCATTACACACGCGCGCGCGCGTGCGTGTGCGGTGCGTGTGCGTGTGCGTGTGTGTGTAGTACATAATTACAATATTTATTAGTAATCGTTGTTCCTTTGTAGTTTTATGAGAAAAGCTTTTTTTTATGTTAAAATGCTCATTAACAGAACTTGTATCTAAACTTTGGTGAAATCGGACAAACAATAAAGGAGTTGATGGATGAGTTTCAAAAAAAAGCAAAAAAGCATCAAAAAGTTGAAAGTATAGCTGACATGAAACACTTTGTAGAGACATATCCGCTTTTCAAAAAACTCTCAGGTACTGTATCAAAACATGTCACAGTAGTCGGAGAACTTTCGTCGCTTGTTGAAAAACATAATTTGCTAGAAGTATCAGAATTGGAGCAAGAACTAAGTTGCCAAACTGATCATTCGTCACAGGTAAGTTGTTTACTTCTAAATGTTTACTTTTTTTGCATTATTTGTTTTTATAATTGTTTATTTACTTACATTATTTTTTTGATAAACATGTTTTTTATTTTTAAATAGCTAAACAAGATAAAAGTACTTATTTCTAATCAGAAAGTACGAGATATTGATACAGCTCGACTTGTTATGCTTTATGCGCTTCACTATGAAAAATATGCTAACAATGACATAAATGGTTTAGTAGAATTACTTAAGAAGAGAAATGTTTCAGACAAATATATTAAGGTGTGTGTTCTTTTCATTATAAAATCGATATTTTCGAACATTTTACATACGTAACATTTCCATTTCTAGCTTGTGTATAATATATTAGAATACAGTGGTGTTAATACAAGGCAAAATAACTTATTTGATCGAGAAGGAGTCGTCAAAATAACAAAAAAATTATTCAAAGGTTTAAATGGAGTAGATAATATATACACGCAGCACACTCCCTTGCTAAACGAAACATTGGAGGACCTGATAAAAGGAAGATTGAGTACACAAACATTTCCATATCTTGGTAATATGACAATGTCGCGAAGGTAAATTTATTATTTATAATGCGGAAATTATATATATATGTATATGTAAAAAATTTGAAATTTTATCATATGCAGGGTGATTCAGAACAACCTGTATATATCCTTGAAAAGAAATTCTTGACTAAATTTTAAGACAACTTTTTATTTGACAAAATTTTGTCTGAAGCTTACTTTTTGAGTTATTAATAAAAATAGTTGAATTACCACGAGTCGAATATAAGAGGTAGGCAAGGAGTGGCGCAACTCACCGTCAGACGCGGACGATTACGTGTGGTGCCTGACGCGATCAGCTGATCGCTACACACTGTTTCTGTATCTTTCTCTGTCTCTCTTTTTCTCTCATTTATTTATTCATTCGTAATTTGTATCACTTAATCCGTGCATCACATAAATCATTGTCAATTATGGTGAGTTGCGCCGCCCCTGCCTACCTCTTGTATCCGACTTGTGGTAAGTCATCTATTTTTATTAATAACTCAAAAAGTAAGCTTCAGACAAAATTTTGTCAAATAAAAAGTTGTCTTAGAATTTAATTAAGAATATATATTTTCAAGAATAATGGGTTGTTCTGAATTACTTTGTATAAAAAAAAATTAATGTGTGATTATTTTATTTTAAGACCTCAAGACATCATAGTCTTTATGGTTGGTGGTACGACTTACGAAGAAAGTCTAGCAGTCTATAACTTGAACAAACAAATTCCAGGCATACAAATTATTCTCGGTGGTACAACTATTCATAATTTTAAAAGTTTTGCGGAAGAAGTACATCATGCTACTAGTGGTATCTTGATGCGATATAGAATCGGAAAGAATTAACAATGTTGATTATATCTAAATATTCTATTTATTTCATTATATTTTATTATATTTGCATGTATCATGTAATCATATATATAATACTTCTATATTGCTAGTCGCGTATCTTCGCAATGAGAGGCACGAGGCCCGAGAAAGAGAGACGCACGAAGTCCAAATATGGGCATAGATAGTCAAGCGTCATTATGCGCAGGCGCGTCTACTAAGCGAGTGCGAGCGAGACAAAGCATTGGAAAGTGAGAGAAAGAACGCGAGAAAGAGAAATGCCCAAGCGTGCTTGAGTGTTCACTGCATGCGCACAAAGCAGCTGGACCTTGCGCGAGAGAGAGGCTACTATATTGTCTGCACCGTAACATCTGGGCTTCAGGTCGGCACCGTACTAGCAATATAGAAGTATTATATATATGCATGTAATATATCTTATTCTCTTTGTTGATGTTATTTTGTATCGTCATAGAATGATATACATTATTCTATACAATAAAAAATTTTACACGTCAGTTATAAACTATGTTTGGGAGTAGAAATATTGTTTTAACAATTTTATGTCTTAACTTTTTACAATTACGTCACACCATTTTTCTGTATATATTTTTTTTTTTTATTAAGAGAATAAATGTACACAACGCGTCACTGAATCGCGGAATTGGCGCGGGGATCGGGGGGCAAGCGGGGCGGTTGCTCGTAGCGCCAACGAGCGCCGTGCGAACTAACTAGTAGCAATCGGTTGTCCACAACTACGTCGTGTCGATAATGTAACTGCTCTTCCTTCCTATTTTCTTCTCAAAACGTAAAACTATTGGCCAATTACTTAATATTTAACGTTGACAAATAACATGTGTATATATATACAGGGTGTCCCAGAATTGATTTAACATCTCTCGTAGGCAGGTAGAAGGAATAAAACTGAGTCGAAAAGTTCTATACCATTTTGCTAGATTCGCAATAGTTATTGAGATTTTAATTAACAAATATCCGCGAATAAGCGTGCATCAGGCTGTCTCACGCGCGGAGGACAGCCCGGCGCGCGTCGCACAATTACATTTTAATATGTATATGTTATAGTATATGCTGTTATATTAGCTCCTCCCATATGTCGCTATGGGTAACACCGTTAGCGCGCGAAGCGCGACGGGCAGTGATGCGCTGTCGAGGGATTTTTTCCCATGCGGAAATCTCTATGCGCATCCGTAAGATGACGTCACAGCTAAACGTCGGCTGCTGCCATAGACGTATCTACAACACTCTACGGCAATACAGGATCCCTTGTAGGTTTACCGCCTTTTTTAATACGAGGTGATAATAATATTATCATTATACAGGATGTCTCAGAAAGTAGTGGCCAAACTTTAGTATCATATTCGACTGTTCCTAAAGGTGAAAAAAGGTATATAAACATAGGCCCGGAAACTTCTTTTTTAATATA